AATCTTGGCTTCCTAATCTGTCAAATGTGATTAACCATACTGCTTTCAGAGACATAATAATTATGTCTAAGTGTGTGTGTGCCTATGCATGTGTGTGTTCGCTTCAATGTATGTATATACAAGACAAAATTAGGTTTATTTTTTTTGAAAGTATGAAATTGATATTGCATTTTGACTATTTGGTCTATGACTCTGACAATGTCATATAGAGCTCTTATAACCCCATAGCAGAAAAATACATTCTCTTTACATATACCTGAATAAAGTACCATACCTGGAATATCCATCTTACTTGAAATTCTGAATCTTTAAACACTTAAATTGGGCTGACACCCATAGTGGTCAAACAATTCCCAAATGATCCTAGATATTACTTTTAATTTAATCAGTCAATTTAGCAGAAGTACTTTGCACTTAAACTCTGCAAAGTCTATGTTAGTTTGGATGGGGAACTGTATAAGAGAGGTAGCCAAGGTCCTGAAAACATAATATTTACAACATAGATAAAGCATTTAAAATCAATCTTAACTTCCTTCTAATTTTAGTGAAAGTCCTGAGCATGAAATGAATTTTAAAATGTATGGGATAGGGACCGCTCTCATTAAATTAAATATTCTGTAAATCAATTACATTGAGGCAATTGCTATTCCAAAATGAGTTTAAGCTTTCAGAGAGACATTTATGTAACTAATTACTTAAATTAAAGACAAATATCTAGACTCCTATCTACAATGTAGATGTTTTTCTAGATATTGGTGGGGAACTGGATGTTGAAAAATACAGGGTGATTAGAATTTTTTTCTTCTAAAAATTTACTTCCTAGTGTATATACAATAGTTGTACATATTCAAGATGTATAATATGGCCTAGCAAATTAGACATCCCTTGTGTTTTGATCTAAGCAGGGAGATAAACACATCCATCATCTCAAGTACTCATCTTTGCCCTATATTACATTTATTGGAAATCTGCTTTTCTAAGTATCTAGAAGGATGCATTGAATTGTCACCCACTCTCTTTACTCTGCTGTGCTATAGCACTCCAGAACTCACTCCACCCATCCATCTGTACTCCCGTATTCATCAACCTTGTAAAAGATACCTCCATCCCCATGTTTATTGGAGCACTATTCATAATAGCTAAGATATGGACTCAACCTAAGTACCCAACAGCTGGTAAATGGATAGAGGAAATATGGAATATGTATGCAATGGAATATTACTGCTTCTTTATTTTCCAGGTAGATGTTTGCCTCAAGATAGAATATTTGAAATGCTATGTTTATGACAAAAACAATTAAATATTTGAGAGAATGCTTTTGTTTTATAAATAAAACTAGATGGAGCAGTCAGAAGGGGCATAACAAGCTTGTTTGTAGAGATTAATTCTATAAACAAATATGGTTTTATTGAATAATCGGAATGTCCCCTGGATATGCATGATTATAACCTGTTAAGGTTAAAAACTACGGAATACATAATTACACAGTGAAAACAATTTAGCAGTTCATTAAAAATGTCACGTGAAACATTGCTGTTCCCATGACAGGTAAGAATAAAGAATATTTACAGATTTTCAACTCAACTTTCTTTTTAAAAAATTCAGTACCAGCACTTCAAAGTAAGGTTTACAGTGATCACCAAAAATTCAATACAATTCATTCCTTCTCAATGTATCCTTGAAAAATAATTCTTTGTAACTCTAAATGTGATGTCTTGTATTCTTGTGGCAATAAGAGCTTTTATTGTAACATTTATTCCTTTTACTCTAAATCATTTTTTATGTATTCTGTTTTTTTCCTTCATATTCAGGTATTTTCACTCTGAGCTAGGATGAAGTTTTTTCACTGAACATTAAAGCACTTTATAAAATTACCAAGTTTGTTTTAAAACCTACATAAATGACTTGACTATAGATAGATAGAATATATATATAATTTGTGAATATAATTATTACGTACACACCCATACATATATTCTTGCTTTATTTTTTTTCAGTCAATGTCTTCTTATACAAGATGTGGTTTTACAAGATTATACTATTTTTGATACTTTATGGTTTGTGTAATTAACTAAATGGTTTAATACAAATTTAAAAACTTTGGATGCAAAATTGATTTAATCTTTACAGCTAAGTAATTAATAAGCTATAATTAATGCACTGTAAATATTAAATATGATGATAAATGAAATTTGGGAAATAAGCAAGGTATTAGACCACTTTTCTTCAGAGTCAGGTCTAGAATACTTGTTGAAAATGAATATTCTTAGGCTTCACCCCAGACATAATGATGCAGAATCATTCAATTCAGAAATTTCCATTTTAGTAAGTTCTCCAGATGATACTTACTCTGCACTGTGAACAATATATATGATAGTTTTGAAGATTTTTGAATTTCAGAAACTAACCACTTTACTTACAAGAAGAGATATAAGCTATTAGTGTTCTCACTGTAATGCTTTATTTTATTCCTTATTTTACCTTTGTGTAGACACGACTTAATCAATTTAGTCATTTAGTGTAAAGGAAAATCTCATCCTTTGGAGTTACACAAATGAAAAGTTAATTAAATGCTTCCTTTATTTCCCTTTAACTTTTTAGGTTGTTCTATTGTCACTGTTTACTCAAATAGGCTCTTTTCTATTGGCTCTTAGGGTCTTTGATTTTTTTCCCCATTCCTTATTAACCTTCCCAGAGATCAAAGCTTCTATTTTTCTCTCACCCTATTCAATCATTAAAATGGCTTTTTTATGAGATTGCAGTAAACTGAAACTCTGATCACATTGTCTGCACTAAACTGCAATCATTTCATTCTCTGTCATTACTGAGAAAAAGACAAAAATCCTCTTATTGGAGAGTTTTCATGGCATACAACTGCTATTATTCAGAGCTAGTGTAAAAGTTCATCTTGGTTACTCTGGTAGGAATTGAAAATTAAAATATATCATCCAGTTTAACTTTTTATATGATATTGACATAAAAAATATGGGGTTATGGCAATAGGAAGGCATCTTAAATGCTATATTATTATGGCCAGTGATAAAAATAAACTTTTAAAGTAGATAATTGGAGAGAAATACATTAAAATATAAACATATTAATTTATTTAGTCACAAAATTGTTACTAAGATGGCTGTTTATAGGAAAGACATATTCCCACATGTGTTGTCTAGATTTTAATCCACAGGTTTCATAAATGATGAGAATATGGGAAAGATTTTTTTGAATCATTAAGCAACCATTGACTCTTCAATTTTGAAAACAAAGTTTAACAGTCACTCAGAACATTAAATACAAAAATGTTTGTATTGCATAAGTTTTGAGTAGAAAAATTCTTTCTTCCAGTATTCCACTAACATATATTGCACATAAAACCGTTTCAAATAAGGCCCCTCCTCTCTGAGAACACTACCTAATCTTGATACCCAAAATAAAAATTTATTCTATTTATAGTGAATGAGAAGGATATGAATAGTAATGTGCAGAGTTAAGCAGAGCCTTTTTCTTTTTGGAAACTCCAAAGTGAGGTTTTCACTCCTTGTTTTGCCTCAGTCTCTTTTTTATTTCAAAATTTCCATGTGCCAGTACCCACTTTATGGAAAGGGAGACAGAGAAGTTGTCTAGAATTTTTCAGTTAAAAAAACAAAGTAGTTTAATCTCTATCCCTTCAATTCTTTTTGTTACAACTACTAAATAAAAGTGTCAACTCCCCCCCACCACCACCCTGAGAAAACCTTAGGGGAGTGTCTTGATTTATTCTACAACTGGTTTGGTTTTGGAGGGGGTAGGAATTGGATTGATTGTGGGGTAATTATTATAGAACTTTATTTCTAATTAAAATACTGAAGTGTGCAAGTAATGCAAACAATGGACCTCTAACCTGACTTTGGTTCCATTTGGAAATCTTGGATGAGAGGAAGGTGTTCAGAGGGTCAATGAGGCAGGCAAATGGTGAACTATGCTAAGTGAATGGATACCACTCTGATATCCTTGGTGCAAGAAAGTTCAAGAAAATTCAGATATGAAGCACTTTAGAGTAAACACATGTCTGGGGTTTGCAGGTGTTCAATTCCCCCCTTCCTTTCCTTTGTATTTGATGCAGGATTCATGCATACTTCACAATACACAACCAAGCATCACATTTACCTGGTTTAGCATGCTTTTCAACACTGCAGTTAGGGTCAACTCTTTTTCTGACATATAATCCCCCACAAACTCATTCAACTGCATTCTCCACCCTATTCCCCCATAGTCCCCCTCCTATCTCAAGGAGGGGGTAGGGATCATCTGAGCAGGGTCTCCTGACTTCATCAACACTCCTTGGCTCCATTGGCCTTTCGTCTGGCTGTATGGATGTCCTGTGTAGGTCTGGAGAAGATGTCCTATCAGGTTTGACCAGCCTCTTTCCATTTGGCACTAACCAGGGTTGCTGTCCCTGGTGCTGAACCATGTTAGCCCATCAGGGAGTCGGCTGCCGGGTCAATGGGCTGGATAGAAAACCTGGCTGACTGACCTTAAGAATGCTCAGGTGCAGCAGCAAGAGACACTTGATTGTATAGGAACAGAGCTCCCCCAACTCCTCCCTCACACGTAGCTCTCGGGTATGCGCCAAGACCCCATTTGCAATTTTCTCCTCCAGACCCCCACCCCAAATGCCTTCATCATGGCCTCAAACGCCGGGGTGTAATAGCACAGCACACCTCCAAATCAGATTGCAGTAATATCGAAATGCTACTCCTCAGTCACAAAGTCTTTATGAGATTAGCTTTCACACTCTAAAACAAAACAAAGAATAAAATCCACTACAGTAATGAGTAAACGAAAGTGACCTTCCTCTTTCATCCCTGCTATTCCCGCCCCACATATTCACTCTTCCCAAATTATAAAGCCCCAGATCCTACCAGAGTGTTTTAAATCTGGGTGGTCTCCCTAGTTCCACATCCCTACCCCTTCCCCCACCTCTGCAGAACAAAACCAGGCCGAAAACAGCACATTCTTACCCCGGGTAGAGCGACAGCAGGAGCAGAATCCACACCGTCATTTTCTGTGAAAATACAGGAGTCGAGTAGATTGGGCTTCCTGTGCTCCATATATTTGGCGAACTCATCGTTTTTTTTTTTTTTTTTTTTTTTTCCTCTCGCCTCTTGCCTCTTGGGTGCAGAAGAATCCCTCCCCTTTGTATTATTATTATGCTTATGATCTGATGGTGGCTCCCCCCACCTGACTCTAGTAGGTCCTGTCGCTGGAGAGATGTATTGCTACCGGCTTCGAGAATTAATATTCAGGGGGCAGAAATAAGATCAGCACAAACGCTTGCAGATACCATCAAAGCGTCAGCTCGGGCAGCAGCTTCCAAGTCTGGGGGAATAATATAATTGAGGCAGGGGGAGGGTGCAGGGAGAGACACACACCAAGACAAATAAGGGAGAGGGAAAGGCGCGCGCACTCCAGTACATACTCATACCCCTCACACTCACTCTACTCCCCCAGGTTCATCTTTTTAGGTGTGTTTGTTTCGTTGCTTTGTTTTGATTTTTTTTTTTCTTCTAGTGGGGGCAGGGCCGTGTGTATACGTGTGTACTTAAAATAAATAGAAAAAAAAAATCACTCAAGGCTCTGCGTGATTAACTATCACGTAGATTAACTATGAGGTCAAAGTGGAAGTGCTGCACGCTGCTGCAGAGCGAATTAACACATGCGTGGTGTCTTTCCAGCACTTTTTAACCCTTCGCTGCACACACAAGCAGAAAAGGACTGGCATTCATGGGAACAAGAGATGTTTTAGCAAGCCCAGAAACTATATCCCGAAGGACAGAAGGTTTGTCTGGGCAGACCTGCCACATATCCCTATTTTAAAATCGTGCAGTCTTAGAAATCATGATTACATTGTTGGGGGTGGGGGAACAGACTGGGGGTAGGAGTGGCTGTTTCTCTGTAATCCATCCTGTAGGAAGATTTTGTGGATTCAATTTGAATGAAGGGGGGAAAACTGGTAGAAATAAAAGACATGGAGAAATTGTATGCTCCCCAGGGTTCATTCCCCTCTATTCTGTTCTCCATTCCCAGTGAAAACGTAAAGACACAATCTACTTGAAAGTTAAAGACTATAATTGCTGGAATAAAGAAAATAGACCTACTTACTTACTATTTGAAGAGAGGGTGAGCAAAGGGAGATGGTCAAGAAAGTATTTCAAAATACAAAGGGATTTGTTTGCTATCTGGGATTAACTTCTTTTTTTATTCTTCTTGGTAACAATATTGAAAATTTCAGGAGTGGGTGTGTACTATTCACATGTGTCCTTCTTATCTGGAATGTTACCATGGATACTGACACATGGGAGTGCCCCCTATACCAGCCTAGTTCATCCCTCATAGAGGAAATCTTGTTCACTTATCATGGGTAAGAAAGTAGAGGAGCATTTGTGGTTCCTGTAAAGTCAAGATACCACAGAAGATATTCATAAAAAGGTACAGGAGTATGAACTAGTGGTAATAAACTGTGGAGAATGCAGTGAGGCCAGTTAGTTCACGTTCTTGCTGGTGTCAATATGGTCTTCAAAGATAAGTACATTCCGGGAAAGACACCTCTGGGATAAGAGTTGTACCACCTATTTTTAGGAAAATAGAGTTATTATTAAAGAATTGTGTATTTAATTTTATTTATCATTATTATTATTATTATTTTAAGTTGACCAGAGAGAGGTAGAACGAGAGAGAACTAGAAAGGGAAAGTGAGAAAACCAGCCATCAGGTCCAGGACTTGAATCATGGTAGGCCATGTGGGAGTCCAGAGCTTCAACAACCATATCACCTGCCAATCCCTCAGCTAGGTGTTATGGCCCACTTCAGGAAAAAAGGAGTGAAGTTTGTTCTTTTTAATTTCTGTGGCCAGCTTCAGGAAAGAGGGAGGAAGGAAAATGCCAAAGAGACCTTTGTGCTTCTGAAGACCTTCTCAATTTCTTTCTAAAATTCTCAGTATATGATGTCATGTCAGGGTAGTATTTCCAGAATCTTGTCAATATATATAGAAAATTTAGATACATAGGTATAAAAATGTTAAAATTGGAAAAAATTTGAAAATAAATAAATATATTTATAAATTGTTTATTTATAAATATATCATTTCATGCAAAGAAGCCATTAACAATATATTGAAGAATGGTTTTGCAAATATTTTCTGCATTTAATATTATTATGATGATTATTTCTATCATGAAAATCACTATACTCAGAAGTGAATTATGTGGTTAAAAGTTGAACAAGTGTGGTTATTGGCACAAATCTCTCATTTTGAGAAGTTAAAATATATGACTTTGGTTCTAGTTCTGGTAATAATAAAGTAGCCTAACTACTCTGTAGATAATTATAACTGGTGGACAAAATGTTAAATAAGTGACTATGTGAAGCACTAAGAAGTAACCAAAAGTAAGCAGAAATTGTGAAGATTTGAACATTGAAAGAGAAAATTGAATTGGGTGAGATTCAAGATTATTTGTTTTTTTCCTTGAGGGCACTGAAAGTGTGACCAATTTTTTCTTGTGTGCCTGGAACTTTCCTGGTTTTCAATGGAAGGGAACCCCAAACCCCAGGGAACCCCTCAATCTCAGAGGTACAGGTTGTATCATCAGGAGAAGGCAATGGTTTTGCTGGCTTAAGGTTACAAAGAGAGTTTAGGGCAGTTGGAGTAGCTCAATCTGAAGGAAGAATTGCAGAAACAAAATAATAAGAGAAAGACAAGACTCTACATCTGTCTGTAAGCATCCTTTAAATATTTATTTTAGTAGGGTGAAGGAAAACACATAAAAATGCTCTGAGGGAACCAGCAGTTAGCGTAATTGCTATGTTACTGAACTCCCACGTAGTCGACCGCAGTTCGCGTCCCGGACCAGGTGGCTTAAATCTCACGCCCGGCACGTGTGCATGCGTTCCCAAGATCCCGAGAGGAGAATGGAGAAGGGATCGCGGCGTGACCATCCCCTCTAGGGGGTGATTTCTCGCTTTCTGTCTCTATGTCTCTCTCTGTCTGTCTGGCGAGTGCACGTGCCCTATAGCGAAAATCTCTCAAAAAAAAGAAAGAAAGAAAGAAAAACACAAATAGGAAAAAAGGAACATTTAGGCCAATATATAAGCTCCCACTCACCACAGGAAATGCAGGGTTTAATGTGTGAATCTCTCCAAATTAGAGGAGCTTCATAAATCCTGCAGGGTTTTCTTTAAACCCTAGAAGGACTATAACCTTTCTCTGTTCTTAGACTAAGGAGCTGCTCTAAGTCAAAAAACAAAACTAAAACTGACCAACCTGAAAACATGATAAAAAAAAAAAAAAAGAAAGAATGAAAGAAAAACACAAATAGGAAAAAAGGAACATTTAGGCCAATATATAAGCTCCCACTCACCACAGGAAATGCAGGGTTTAATGTGTGAATCTCTCCAAATTAGAGGAGCTTCATAAATCCTGCAGGGTTTTCTTTAAACCCTAGAAGTACTATAACCTTTCTCTGTTCTTAGACTAAGGAGCTGCTCTAAGTCAAAAAACAAAACTAAAACTGACCAACCTGAAAACATGATAAAATTATCTGTTACAAGATTAAGGTCATTTGTCATTAATTTAACTCATACCAAGTCAAAAATCTAATTCTTAGGGAAATGTAACAAATCAGAATATCACTAATATATATAAAATGCCTGATAAGATTGATAAGACATGCGGAGTACAGGATAATAGGAGATGATTTTACACACACATATATATATATGTGTGTGTAATATATATTCAATCAACCATCATTAGTAGTTTAAGAACTTAAAGAAAAATATAGTCAGAATGTTACATGTGCAAAAGGCGAAATAACAGTGACTGTTAGCAGAGAAATGCAAACTTCTAAAATAAATAAATAAAGCTTGTGAAATTGAAATAATTTAAAATAACTGAAAGGAAAAATTTACTACATGGGTTTTTATAGCAAACTGGCAATTGTAGAATAGCAGTAGAAAAAGTGATCAGTAAACTTGAAGACAGGCCAATAAAATTATTCAATATAGAAAGCATAGACAAATATTGAAAAGAAAAATGAAAGAGCCACTGGAAACTATAAGACAATATCAAGCATTTTAATAAAATTGTGTAAAGGGAGATTAAAAAGCAAATTAAGCAGAAGCATATTTTTAAAATTAATGGACTAAATTCTCTTAAAGTTGGTGGGAAATAGTAACATTTGGATCCAAGAAGCTGGGTGAACACAAAACAGATGAAAAATAATGAAAACTACACCTAGGAACTTTATATTCCCACATGTAAAAACTGAAAGTAAAATGTATACATAGGATTCTATACCCAGCAAATAAATTCTTTTAAAATGAAAACAAAATAAAGATATGTTTAAATAAATAAAGGCTGAGAGAATCTGTTAGCACTAGAGCTGAACTAAAAATAATGCTAAAGTAAATTCTTCATGCTCAAAGTGATACCAGATGGTAACCCAGATCTACGAGAAGTGAGGACCACTGAAAATGGTTAATATGTGAGAAAACAGGAAAGATGATATATTTTATCATTATTTTTCTAAAAGACACTGGACTTTTTAATGCAAAATAATAACAGTGCATTTTACAGTATATACCTCATATGCACAGAATACATGTCGACAATAGCACAAAGTATCCTGAATTTAGAAATAAATCAAAGTATACAAGTTTCTTGCAAATCTCACATAGTGGTCTGATAGTAATTATAAATAGATTTTGAGAAGTTAGAGATGAAAGTGGCAATTCTTAAAGTGTTAGTAAAAATAACATTTAAGGATATAGCTATAAATCATTAGTGAAATTGTAATTAAAAATTTAATAAATACAAAAGGAGACAAAACATATAGAGCAGAGGGAACTGTAATAGGTCCTGCAACATAAATTGCAAAATGGTGGCTAAAAGTAGACACGAATATGAGGAATATTATAAGAATATTATGAGAGAAAAATATGTATATTTTTAACTATAAAAGGATTCTGTGCCAGGAAGACATACAAGTCACAATTAATAAACCTGATAATAGAGTTTCAAAGTGTATGTGACAAAAACAGAAAAACAGAACCAGAGAAATCTCACAATCACACTTGAAGATAATAAACCTTTCAATTGATATTTATAGAATTCCACATCCAATAACTTCAGGACAAACTGCAAAATGTATAACCTTTCAACTGCTCATAAGATAAGCCTCAATAAGATTCAAAATTGAGAACGTTTATAACATAATTCAACCAGAAATTTATAATTTGAAATAGAAAAGTTTCAAATATTTTGATAATTAAAGAACATACATATAAATAATACATGGTTTGAAGAGAAATAACAAAGGAAGTTTCAAAGCAAATAAAAATGAAAATACAACACATTGCATGTATATATAGCATGGAGCTAAAGGAAAAAATGGAGGAAGATGTACAGCCACAAATACACAGAAAAGAGCTTTAAAGTCAATTGTCTC